ATAAATCATCAACACTGTCATCACCAAGGGGTTCTTCATTTGAATTATCATTATGGTGAACTGCTCTCTCCCCTTCCTCCTCTCCTATAGAGTCCAATGTCGGGCATTTACTTCAAGATTTATGTAAGTTTTAATATATATAGCGTGAGGCGAGGCGGGACTCAAGGCGGGCCTCAACCAAGTTAAGGCGCTAGCCTCATAAAAAAAACTCGAGGCGTAAGCATCGAGGCGTTTTTTATTAGAATTGCGCAAAGGCGGGCCTCAAGGCGAGCCTCATATTGCGCAATTTTAAACCATGGTGCCGAATGTTGGCCATTAAAAGAGAAGCATAATACTAAGTTAAGTGTGGCAGAGATGAGGATGCTCAGGTGGATGAGTGGCTTTACCCTTAGAGATAGGATACGAAATGAGTATATACGTGAAAAGGTTGGAGTAGCTTCAGTAGAAGATAAGATTAGAGAGAGTCGCCTTAGATGGTTTGGTCACATAAAACGGCGGCCTTCCGATGACCCGGTTAGGAGAGTAGAGGTATTAGATTTGACTTATGTTAAAAAAGGTAGGGGTAGATCTAAAAAGACTTGGTTAGAAAATATTAGGAATGACCTTTCTTCATTAGATTTAAACGAAAATTTGACTTTTAATAGGACACAATAGAGAAAAAGGATTCATGTAGCCGACCCCACGTAGTGGGATAAAATGCTTGATGTTGTTGTTGTCTTCTCATTTTGATCTAGCAATTGATCATAACTTGTCAAACCCTAATTAACTTAAGAGCATCCAATGAATGAGTGATCCACTAAATCATATAAAATCCTAACTTAGATTCCAATTAACATAGGCAAACCTAGTTTAAACAATTTATGATTTTATCCTAATTCTGGATGGATGAAGTGGATGAATGCTTCGGGCTTGTTGTGTGATAGAAAAGTATCACTCAAACTTAAGGGAAAATTCTATAAGATGGTGGTTAGACCTGCAATGCTTTATGGCGCAAAATGTTGGCCATTAAAAGAGAAACATAATATTAAGTTAAGTGTTGTAGAGATGAGGATGCTTAGGTGGATGAGTGGCTTTACTCTTAGAGACATGATACGAAATGAACATATACGTGAAAATGTTGGAATACCTGACTTTCATAGCCCTCATGCAAATGTTTCGCTCTTCGTTGACATGAGTGGTAATGAACATATTGATATTATGGTTCAAACTTATCCATCTTGTTAGCATACTAAATTACTAACAGTGCTATAATTTATCCAGCATTCTTGTGCCCTACCATACAATAAATTAAGATTTTATATTGATTAACTATATTAGACTACATGATTTTAATTAAAATTTCTTTTTTTTTCATATATTTTGATCCTCTTTTTATTGCATCTGATTTATTACTGACTAAAGGAATTATGAGATGTGATTTTTGGTAGACTAACCCTTTGGTGAAGTATATAGTGCCATTTATGCAGTTGCTGCTTTTTGGAGGGCAATTTCCACCCATAGATACTCCACCATATTTCTTTTTCTTTGCAAGTCTACCCACTCCTAGAAACACTCCATAATTGAGTTTGGAGGTTTTTAAGCTTGCTACATCAATTCTACAAGAGTAGAGATCTTTCAAGTGGGAGAGAGTTGATGTAAAATTTTAAGATAATTATGATGACCGTATTACAAGATCAAGGTCAAAGGTTTAAATTAAGTGTCAAGAGGGCAACATCAACTATGCCTGATAAAATAAAAGTCCTTGTATGAAATCAAATAAAAAATTAAGATGATTTGAGTTTAAAAATTCAGAATTTAAAATTTAAATTTTTGAGTTTTTGAATTATTATTATTTTTTCTCCATGTAGGTGACCCCCTTTAATTGCATTTATCATCAGCATTGGATATGCTTGGATTGAGTGGATGTCCCCCCATGTGGGGATAGAATTGTGGAGTGATACCAATCCACGCTAGGATTTTTCCTTTTGCCTTTTTAGATTTGATTTTTCCCCTCATTTTAGTGTTTTTAAGGTGGATATTAACCAAGCCCCTCCCCTCCACTGCATGAACCAATATAAAACAGATCTAGGAACCAATAGAAAACAAATCTAGGTGGCATAAACCGTATCATGCAAGTTAAAACCATGTTTCTAGTGGCAACAGTTTGCCGTGCTAATCCACGCCATGCTCTATACGAATATGTACAAAACTGGCATTTATGTATATTGCTTTTGGTCAGTATTACCTTGAAAGGTACTTACATCTATTTATATTTAAATTTAACAGGTTGGAGATGATTGTAGACAAGATGTTCTTGCACTCCAAGTGATTTATCTACTTCGGGATGTGTTTGAGGCAGTAGGGCTAAATCTATATCTATTCCCTTATGGTGTATTACCCACTGGGCCAGAGAGGGGTATAATTGAGGTCTCTCTCTCTCTCTCTCTCTCTCTCTCTCTCTCTCTCTCTCTCTCTCTCTCTCTTTCTCTTATATATATATATATATATATATATATATAACTTAAGTCCATTTTTAAATCTTTTGGAGGATATTTTTGCCTTTCTAGCTCATAGTTTTTGCTCATCACTTGTTTTTTTTTCGTGAAATATGGGTTTTTAGCCCAAAAGAAAGCATGCAAGCTAAAACTATTATCTGCCAGAGATGAAGCTTTAAATGAAGCTCTAGAAAAGAACAATGGGGAAAAGAAATATTGCTCATCTTCACATCAATTGCTTTTCTCTGTTGTTAACGTAGCGTAGAAATTTCCCTATAACGTGAACTTCACATGTGCAATTCATGATATCATTTGATTGGTGCTTCTATAAATGTTTCCCTCTTGTTCTATTCAGTCAATACACTCTATCAGTAGATCAAGTTTATCCATATAATGCACGGTGTTTTGATTTGTTCTGGGATGACATAGTTTCTGTTATTATTTTTTATTTTTATACATTAATTTACCTTAGATTTATGTTTCATGATTTCTTGTCAGTTTTTCTCTCCATTTAGAATTAAAAGTGGTAGAGTTGAGCTTGCTTTTAACAAGACCCAAGCTTACGTAGTTAGTTAGCTTTATATCTTTTGCTTGAGCACAGTCTGTAATATAAACATGAAGTTCTGTGTTTATGGTCTACTGTTTTGCTATATACATTGAAATGGCAAGAAATTTGGACGGTAGTTGCCGGAAGTGAAATCTATCCCTTATAACTTAAAATAAAATCCACCACCCGCCTTTTGCAATCATATATAAGGGTGATAAATTTGAGAATAATCTCAGCTCATAAAGGGCCAATGTCTTGAGTGTATTAGTTTGGTTCATTCTCAAATGATCTCTCGCTAGTAAGGACATGACACATGTCATCTAACCGGTGATTTTTCCATCAAATGATGCAACAGGTAAACAATTATGTAGAGTCTCCGAGCCAATGATTTTGCTTGACACCATTACATTATAATCATGGTTATTATAGCCTATAAGTTTACTAATGAACAAAAACCCTTGAGAAATGAATCACATTATACATTTAATAGTGCATAAAGCTCTCTCATAGCTATGATCGACTTAAATTTATTCCTTTAGACAAGCATCTACACTGCAAGATTCCTTCGGATGAGCAACCGATGACTATTGATAAGGATCCTTTGATCAAATTGGGTCAACTACCTCCTTCAACTAAGTAGATTAGGGACCATGATAACTTGTGATAACTGAATCATGATTTGATTGAGCTTGTCATCACTCCTCCCATTAACCGCTTTTAGTATAAAGCTGATGCGGGCAAAAGATATAGGGAGCCTATATCTCTTGATCACAAAAGACACGACGGACTTCTACTGATGCAGGACTACTTAGATGACAGGCTTGTGACTTCATTTTAGACTTTGCACAATTCTTTGATGAGAACAATTTAGGATTAAAATTATTAGCAATTCACAACATCAATTAAAACAGTTAAAGAGGTGCTTTGCGTAGGTTAAATCCCATGCTCCAAGCGTTGAAAAATTTCAAAATACGTAAGATAAGTAAAACAACGCAAAGTCGTAGTTTTCAATGTAATCCCTAATCTAACAACAAGAGTTAGGATGCATAGAAAGCACACTCAATAATCTACGATTTACTAGGCTTAGCAGGAGCACTTGGATGAGTCTTTGCGATTATAATCATGCCAACGAGAATTTAGACTTCAAAGAAATAAGAGACAAGTGAGAAAAGAAACCTTCGCCAGAAGATGTGAAGATCTTCCACTCACGGCCTTCGACCTGCTCGTGATGGTTTCCGTTAGACGGCCCAAGATGCCATCCACATCCTCTTAAAGTATAGTCAATCGCCTTCTCCTTGAAGATGTACCCGGATATCTAGAAGGAAAGAAGCTTCTCTTGCCTTGAGGAGAAGGGAGGGGACCAAAGCTGAAATCTGAAATTGGTTTCAGATTCCTATAGGTATCGTAAGGGAACTAGTAGGAAGGATCCAAGATGACTTTTTGGCAACTTCGGCCAGCAGCAGGTAACGGGTTCCCAGCCTTCTCATAGAGGGAACAAGCTCTAAGGAGAGCTGGTGGAGTTCGGTCTGAGAGGGAGTGGGTGCTGGGCGGTAAAACAGAGAAGACAGGGAGGAAAATTTTTTCCAAAGCTAAGGAGTGGATTAGGAAAGAAGTAAATAGATTAATAATCTGAGCAATTCGGCCAAAAGGTAACAGAAGCAATTTGAATTCTTTCTAAATGCTTTCAACAGTCAATTAGGAAATAACTCCTAATCTAATTATTATGGTGACCGGCGGTATTACTAGCCTGGGAAGAAAATAAGGAAAGGGAGGAGAGGTTTCTTGCTTTGGTCTCAGGAATTAGGAAAAAGTTTTAATGGAATCCAAGTGAATTTGAAATTCAAATGGGTCTTAAATTTAGCAACTTTCCTAAAATAGGTTTTCTCAAATTAGGAAAGAAAATTTCAAATTCAAATTGTTTAGATTTTGAAATTAGATCTTCCCAAATCAAGAGTAAGTTATTTATGGAAAGTCTTCAAATAGAGATTTGAATTTCAAAGAGTGGATGAAAGAGATGAGGCCGGCGGCTTGATGGATGGGGGAGGGGAATTCCGGTGGGGCGGCGAGGAGGTTGTATGGTGGCAGGCGACTTGATGGGATGGAATGAAATCGTAGAGCGTGGTTAGGAGAAGATGTTACTTGAAGGGATGAAGGAGGGAATCAAAGAGGAATACAAATAAAATGACGAACCACGAACCCGGCCGTCTCCAAGGTTGGTGGGTGATCCGGTCTCCCTCTCCTAGGGATTTCTCCAAAGTTCTCTCCAAGAACTTTCAAACTCTCTCAAAACACACAAGTGCAAGAAATTTTCATAATATTCATCATTAGCTCAAAACAAAGGAAATGAGGCTATAAATAGCCGGGTACAAAGACTCAAGAAAATAAAAGACCAACTTGCCCTTTGGGCTTACATGCGACCACTCCCATGAAAGGGGTACAAAGGGAAATAATAATGACACCTAAGCAAATAAGAAAATGCATAAATAAAATAAA